CAAACCTTCTTGCACACACATTTCACCTCGTGTCACCCTCCAGATGTTAATTAAAAAAGGATTTGTCAAAGGAGAAGCCTTGAGAATCCTACGAAAAAACTCCTCAGAAACAACCTTTGAGAAAAATAACACTTGATGGACGGGGGCTATCCACAATCTTTGATAGAAAACATACTATCAGAAATAAAATTCACAAAAGGGAGTCTAAACTCCTAAAACAAAACAAAAACGAGGAAAAAGAAATATTGCCATTCGTGACACAATACCAGCCCTCAGTGTCTACTATAAAGGAAGCTTGAATGAAAAAATGGAATCTTATACAAAACCAACTGTAACCTCAATAAATTTTTAAAGAACCACCAATCATTTCCTTACAAAAAAGGAAGATCATTAAAGGACATGCTCGTAAGAGCCAAAAAAAAAATGTTAAGGGTTCCACGCCCGTATAGATGTACGGCCTGTCACCCTTTTGTACTTTCTCGCACAACAGGTTTGTGAGTATTTTAACAATAATTCCAGCTGGCCGTGTTTTATATAACAAGTGTAGTCAACTGTCTCGTTAGTAGTTAGTGCCTATCTATGTAATAAAATAGGGTGACCCACCCCCTAAGGGTAGCTGAAAATTGCACGACCCACCCCTTGCACAAGGCTCAAAACCTCATGACCCACCCCCTCTCTGCTCCGGCCCACCCCCCCTATACTTTTTGACCAGTCCCTTACAGGATAACCCCTTTTTGAATAATGTAGGATCAAAAGCCCGGGTTACTTTAACTTTGACTAGGCGAGTTCTTTTTAACCCTTAAACTGGAGTTAAAATCTTAAGTACTGGATAACCCTTTTTTTGCATTGGCTGTTATTCTAAATCTTAAATTTAACTCCCAAGTTTGGAGTTGTATAGACTGTTAACAGTCCCCTATTTTACGTAAGATCGCTGCGTCAAGATCCCCTATGTTAGACTTGTTACATTTAAAATTAAGATTGCCGCCTGTAAGGGTAATTTTCGATCCCGACGATCTTACGGGAAAAAAATAAGGGGACTGTGAAAGTTCAACTTAAGAGAGTGATGTTGAACTTAAACGTATTCCGACGGTCCCTTCCATGCATGTAAGCTTACACGAGTTAAAGAAATAATGACGCATACATTATTAGAAAAATGTTGCTATCCTAATAATTGCCCATAGCCCATGCAAGTTGTGTTAAAAAAATGGCTTCTCACTTTATTCTTTAAATTTTACAAATGTAGATAAAACAAAAGGGATTGAAACAAGATTTTATCCACCGAGGCCACAGTGAATAAGACCTCGATCTGCATAACCTTCGTCATATCATACACAGCCTCTTTCAACAGTTGTTGAAGCCCCCCCTCACGAAAAAGTTAAATAACTTAAGAACCATTCTACCTATTACCACCATACTTAGTGATTTTTCCAAAAAATGTGTACTCAATAAATTCAACAATATGACGTCATAATGATGTCAAATTAAGCCATTGTATCAATCAGAATATGCCCAGAAGTTAGAAATGATGATTACTTTGTTCTGTGAAATTTTGGTGGCCGTAGCATGAGCGGTTTTGAACTGTATCAATCAAAATATGCCCAGAAGTTAGAAATGATGATTACTTTGTACTGTGAAATTTAGGTGGCCGTAGCATGAGCGGTTTTGAACTTACAGAGGGGGTCTCTGGAGCAAAAGCCTCCCCCCCCGGTTGCAGGAAGTGATAAAAACCCCGTCGGGATAGCTGGAATAGGGTTATGTCAGTCCCTTAGGCACTTGCAATCCAACTCGTTCAAATTAAATGAGATCTTTTTCTCTTTTAATTGTTCCACTGTAATAATTCCAAACCTACACAGTGTTATTTAGAAAACCCATTGTCAGTATTTTTGAGAAACGAAAAAAAAAAATCGGTAAATGGCGAAATTCATCAAACAAAGGAGACGGCCAACAAATTGAGCACAATAAAAGAAAGAATTGAAACATGAGAATAACCGTCCGAAACATTGAAAGACAATATAACAAACACAGCAATTATAAAAGAACGCACAGAGGATGGAAAAACTCTTAAAGAAGATTAAAACAGATTTTAATTGTCGTTTTTGAAAACTTGTTAGCCCAACTGTTCCACAGTTCTTTCGCATAGTTAGTAGAGAGACTGGTAGAGAGCCGGCAAAACATCGGTGCTG